TCCATGGACAAAAAGGTACGCAAGGTAGTGTGGCGACTCACCGGCGACACATCATAAGAATACCCGTAACTTAGAAACGTCCGGGGCCTTTCCAGTAAACAGCTCCCACGGCGTCTGTACAGTCCCCTTCGTAGGACACACGTTGTGCAAGGCGTTGGCCGTCACTATTGCCTCTCCCCAGAGCTCCGGAGGTATGCCCAACTCAGCTCGCATGGTCCACACATGCTCCAGCAAAGTCCTGTTCAGGCGCTCCGCTGCTCCGTTTTGCTCTGGCGTATACGGGGCCGACTTCTCATGCACAATACCCCTCTCAGAAAAGAAGGAGGCAAGGCGATCGTTGACGTACTCCGTGCCGCAATCAGTTTGGACGCAACGAACCTCTAGACCAGTCTGCCGTTCCCACTTAGTCAAAATCTCACGAACAGCATCGGGGACTTCCCTCTTTGTGCGAACGCAACGAACCTCGGAGTACTTGCTAAAATCGTTGTAGAAGGTAGCGAAGTAGTTGGCTCCACCCAGCGACGTGATCGGCATCTGGCCGCAAACATCCATACGGACAAGATCAAGTACGTGTTCACCCTTGTGCATCGATGAATGATGGGGGCTGCGGGTCATTTTTCCCATAACGCACGGCTCACAGATCTTGCTCCCAAGACGAAGGCTTCTCTTACGGCATATGGACTCCGAATGGGCCAGTTCGTCAAACAACTGCCTATCAAGACAGGTGAGGCTAGGATGCCCCATGCGACGATGCAAGGTGTCTAACCTCTCCTTGAGGAAGCGCCGCGTTGTAAATGCCCTATGCCTCTCGGTCTCTGCTTGCTCAAGCACGATATACATCCTGTTCTCCTCAAACACATCGACAGCGGGGATTCCGTCTATTGCTATATATGAGTGATCGGTGGACAGGATAACCTCTACCACCTTATCCGGGAAGGATCTCTTTAAGGCTTTGACCGAAAACAGGCGGTGTTGCAGGTCCGGAACTACGTGGACAGATACCGACAATTCCGTCCACCCTCGAATAGAGGTGAAGAACACCCTGCCCTCGCCAATGGAGCTAACCGTCCGCCCGTCCGCCACCTCAAAAACAACACCCTCGCCCTCGCACACCGGCGTTAGATCCTCCACGTCCTCAGGAGTGAAGGTCAGGTGATCCTCAGCTCCAGTGTCAAGAAGCCATTCACCGGGTGCCAGTCTCATTCCCCCAAGCGTGTTTATGACTCCAACTAGTCGCCGCCGCACACCCTGGGCCTGCGGCTGCACTTGTGGTTGTTGTTGTCGTTGACGCATGTAAGGCTGGGGAGGTGGTGGAGGAGGAGGGGGCGGCGGCGGCGGTGGTGGCGGTGGATAGGGCTGTCTGAGCTTCGGGCCCTTGGTGACCAAATGGCCCTGTTCCTTGCAGTAGAAACACTTCCTGTTGTCCTTCTTCTTATGTGGCGCCTGCCGCGCGACGTTGTAAGCTCCTTTTACGGGCGACTTCTTGGTCTCCGTCTCTATCTTCTGTTCCTCGACGAGTAGTCGTATCTCCAGCTTCTCTACGTCGTCTACGTCGGTTGCATTCTCTATCACCGTGCGGATCATCGCATACGCGTCAGGTAGACCTCTCAAGACGTGGTCCACCACCTCGTCGTCCGCCAAGCTAAGATCTATTGCCGCAAACTCTAGTCGAAGCGCTTGAAACCTTGCGATGTAGTCGCTGACGGTCTCGTTCGGTTCCATTTTGAAGTGGGTTAAGCTTTGAACTAACAAGCTCTTCGCGTCTGTTGGCCATACTTCGCCGCCAAAGCAAGCCACAGGTCGTACGCCTTCGCGTGACGCGCGTACAGAGGCTTCTCCAGGACGCGGATGAATTCCTTAATATATATTAAAACCCTAAAGCCCAAAGCCCGTTGGTCCTGCTCGTCGGTTACTACGTCGCGCGTAGCCTGCACGGGGCTGATCGCGTTCGCTAAGCCCTTACGTTGAAGGACGCCGATGACGTGCTCCTTCAAGAGGTGAAAGGTGCTAATAGAGAAATAAAAATCTTCCTTGTCTACTTTCATCCTTGCCTAACGCTAAGTCTGCACACAGCAGAAAAAAGGCACCACCGGGCAAACGGATGACCGCACGCTAAAGCGCGGGGCTCATAACCTGTTAGAGATAAGAGTCCTTCAGTGAACACATCACTCGCTCATATCGTTACACAAGGAGAGAGAAAAATAATGAAGACGCAAGCAGTATATAAGCGTACCGTAGCCAATCCTGATTCGATGTCGTATTGGGATAAAAGCAACTAATCAAACTACCGAAGTGTCAAGCCTGAGTGTACCTTAGCACTTTCCAACACTTTATCCGGTATACGGCATATTCGCTGCGGCGGCTGGGGAACTTCCGAATTTGGTCACGAAGACCTACGCACGCTTCGCAGTAACATCTTATCACGCTTATCTCGACGGGGCCTTATGGCAATTCGTTTGAAGCCTCTTTGTTGCCGCGGCTGAACTGAAAACTAAAGCAACTATGTGATGAGTATGAACGAATTCGTAAATGAACCTGCGTCTGCAGCCACCCCGTGCCCGGGTGATATCCTCCCCCCCCCTCCAGCACTGCCACCTGGCTGGGATTTCC